GGCCTCCTCCACCTCCAAGCGGCCGTTGCGGTTCTGGTCGTAGTACAAGAAAATGAACTGCATCCTGACCCCCAGAAAAAGCGTCTTTTGCACTCCCAAGAGGGAGAGCCCAAACGGAATCCGACAACAAAGCGCGGCGGTTGGGAACCCCGGGCCCCGCCTCAGCTGGCCGGAGGGCGACTCCAGCTTATGCGGGGTCAGCGGACCTCGCTTCATCTGCTTGGGGCTTTTACTGTTTTGGTCATCCTGAAAACACTTTCGAAGGAAGAGGGAGTGAGCAGCGAAGCCCCGCCAAAGTTGAACACCCAAGGAGCATCGAGCTAAACCATGGGCATGCGTTGATGTCGGAAGCAAAGAGAGATCTTGAACCGCCACCTCCAAGGCTCCAAGCCAAGAGGAATCCAGACTCTTTTGCACACTCACTGCTTCTGCGTCGTGTACGTCGCATCGAGCGCTTTCAGAAGCTGATCCTCCGTCAGGAGTTCCAACCTGGGCGAGTAGCTGCGGGGAATAGCTCTGCCTCCCGCTGTCCTTCGTCTTCACCCAAGCATCAGGGCACCTCTCTTCACACCCCTTCTGTCCTTCCTTGTGCCCTGTGCGGAGCTGTGTTGGGGAACGAGAAACGAGATTGCGGAGTTGAACGCCCTCTTCGTGCTGAACACCTCTCGCCAGGGCTGTGGGAGGGGGAGCGACCCGTCCCCCCTCGCGCAGGTTGCGGGTGCCAAGGGTGAAAGGCTGACCGCGCCTTTCGTGGTGCAGCTGCAACACTCGACAAACGTCCAAAATCCACAAAGACAATTGTACTGCTTTGGAAGCCCTGCACAGCAGGCCGGGCCCTGCACTTGTGGACAAGTCTGTCATGCCGCTTCTTGGGTTTTTTTGTGGGCAAAGGAGCCCAGAGTCCCATGCCAGCACTCACGGCAACAGTAGGAGATAATAGCCAGCATAGCAGCCGCTGGCGGTAGTAAGTTCCCCCTGACATGAATCTGTGCAGCATGAACTCTCTCTATCCCTGTCTCTGTGGTCTCTGTCTCTCTTGTCTCTCTTGTCTCAGACTTTCTCTGGGCCAAGCGGCTGCTTCAGGGCTCCGACGGCTGTGGGGTTGCTGGCTTCGCATCCAGCAACCAGACCACGCTCCTGCCCCACGGGTCTTCTTGGCCACTTGCTTTTACTCCAAAAAAAGCCTGGATGACACCAGCAACTGGATTTCAAAAGACGAAACATAACCAGTGACCACTCAGTACTCGCACATCACCATAGCTTCTAGTGGCTTGCGCCATGCATATGTTTAAATCCCTGCCACCCGCCACAATGCCAGAAGCCACCCCATTCTGCGTGCAGAGCCTGGTATGCACAAAAACTTCAACCTTGAAGTTAAGCTTGAGAGCAAAAACCTGCAACCTGCACAAAACGGCTTGATCAGCTAATGGGCAATCTATTGGATGGAGAGCGTTCTTGGATTGAGAACGTTCGCCTATCAAGTTCAACAAGATGTGACCGGATGCTTGATCTGCTGTGCTGAAGGTGAAGCTGGCACCTGCGCCCATGTCAGCCAGGGTCTCCAGGTGTGTTCGTCTGCTGACAGGGTGTCGAAGTGGCCCACCACCACGAGGCCCCTGCGAGAGCGGGTGATCGTGACGTTCAATCGCCTCGGGTCGCCCAGGAAGCCAACCTTGCCACTGGTGTTGGCCCTGACGGTGGAGACGATGATCAGGTCCTCAGAGTGCCACTGCCCCTTAACTCATCATTCAACTTTCAGGGTTTCAACGAAGAGCTACGAACTTGAAGAAGGAAGGAGAGGCGCTCTACAGACCTTCTAGACCCCAAGCCCGTTTCCTTCTCACGCCCCTGGAAGCCATCGACGCTGCTCACCTCCACCAAAGCGACACCCACGGCCCCTGCAGCCGCCCTCTTGCCCGGCGGAGGACAGCCCAAGCGACGTCGGATCAGCCGAGCCTCGCTGGGGGGGACCCCCGACAATCGCACTCGAGCAGGCCTTCTACTTCGCGATCTCTGAATAATCTTCTACTGAGATGTGCACACTTGACTCACCGAGAATACTTTCGATTATGTTATTGTCATTATTGCACTCTTGCGACGGGATCTTGTGAGGCTGAAATCCGATCCCTCCAAGGTGGGCCTGCGCTGCGTAGGGCGTGATGACGCCAATCTCGGTGGGTGCAATGTCGTTCCAGGCGAGTGCGCTGCCCAGGAGCGCCTCCACAGCTTCCACTTCGGTCTCGTTGAACCAGGAAGTTCCTTCAGACTTCTCCTTGCCCTCAACGGGCAGGAAAGTGACCGGAGCCTCCGGCAAAGGCCAGGCGATGCCTTGCGGAGCTTTTCTCATGGCACCGGACACTCCAGAACGCAGTTTGCCATTGTAGCTGGCCACAGCAGGGAACGCTGCAATTGCAGGATGCATGCGGTACTGTACATCCAGCATGAAGGGCTCAACCCCGTGGGACGACAGGCGCTCGAACAGGGAGGTCCCCAGACCCTCGACATCCACATCGACGTTGCTGATGGTCGGAGGCAGCTGTCGGTGGTCGCCCACAAGGGTGACCACACCATCAGATCTCATCTTCATCAGAGGAACCAGGACAGCCAGCTCTGTTGTCTGCCCGGCTTCGTCAATAAGAACACATCCGAACTCTTTGCCTTGCAACACCGGATGATCTGCACCGGCACAGGTACTGCAGACAACCTCTGCATCTTCCAGAATGGCCCTCTGATGAGCGAAGTGACCCCTGTCCTCCGCGTTTGGATCTTGCGCTTTGGCATCCTCAGCAGACAGCTGCAAGCCGCAATTTAATGCAGTTTAACAGTCCCGTCCTGTGCCCTATAAGCCTCGAGCCTTCGATCTAGAACAGTGGTGGTGGTAGTAGTAATTAGTAGTAATTAGTAGTAATTAATAGAAATTCGTAGCAATTAGTAGTAATTAGTAGTAATTAGTAGTAATTATAAGTAGTAATTAGTAGTGACACCCCCTTTTAGGCCTCGCGCCTTCACCATCTCAAGGAGGTTGAACTTCTCGAGATCGTAGCGGGTGGCCTCTGGCCGGCCGATGCGGACGACCCGGAGCCCCGCTTTCGCACAGCCGGCCGTCAAGTTGTCCACCTGACACTTAGGGCTTAGGGTTTTTTGGGGCTTAGGGTTTAGGGTTTAGGGTTTATAGGGCTTAGGCTTTCGGCGCAAGTCGTTCACAAGGCCGCCAGGGGTCTCAGAACTCGGCCAAGTCACCGCGATGTTGCTGTCTGCACAGCAAAGCACAGGCCCACGCCGCGCAGCCGTCCTGCACAGCAACAGATTTTTGAGGACAAGCGGAAGGGGAATGAAGACTTCGATACGTCTCCTCACAATCGCTCTGAACACACCGCAAAGCACGAACAAAAGCAACTGCAAATCCCTGAAGCTTGAGCTCGAGTTGATAACACTGCGATCTCAAACTATAAGCCATGTTCCTGATGCTCCCACCAGCGGGCATGTTGCACTGAGTCTTGCCGCTGTGAATTCACAACGATGCTTCTTTTTCTCTTCCCTGCTGGCAGTGTCTGGCGTCACGGCGCTGTCCGCGGGAAGGGCAAGGACAGCCCTGTGGAAGAATCCAGTGCGTCGCGGTTGTGAAACGGAAGAGCCTAGGCGCTTCGACAACACCCACCCAGCAGAGTAGCACAGCACGAAAGGGATCAAACCTTCGTGCATCAGGACTGTCCCCCAACCGTTTCGTCAACACCCACCCAGGAGAGCAATGCAGCACGAAAGGAGTTAAAGCATCAGGACCTTCCCCATGGGCAACACCCGCCCGCCAGAGCAACGCAACACTTAAGAGGCCAAACCAGAGCACCGCCGCTCGAAAGGGACCGAACCTTCCTGATGGGCTGGGACGAAGCCCTACATTCATCCGGACTTTGTGGAACTTGGCAGCAGACAGAACATGGTAGTGTGATAACGCTGAGGCTGCTCATTGCCAAGGCAGCGTCTGAGCCACGCAGCCTGATGGCGGTGCTTATGGCATCTACTTGCCTGCTATGCGCAAGCCAGCTCAGGCTGGGTGGTGAGCGGTGAAGCAGCAAAGTGGCTGTTGGAATCATAGTGCATGGCGACGTGCGCTGTGCTAGAACAAGGACAAGGAGACGACAACAATTGCAAGAAACACTCGGCGGGGTCCAGCCGCGAACGAGCAGCAGCGCCGTCGTCGTCTTCCCGGCACCCGGTGGGCCCTGGATGAGAGTGAGCCGCCTCGTCACAACAGGAACAACAACTCCCACACGTGAACGCGGTGTGATGCATGTATGTGTCTATGTATGTGTCTATGTATGTATCTATGTATGTGTCTATGTATGTATGCACGTATGTATGTACGTATGTATATATATATATATGTATATATATAATGTATGTACGTATGTATATATATATATGTATATATATATGTATATATATATGTGTATATATATATATATATACGTTTACATACACATGTATATATATATATGTGTGTATATATATATGTATATATATATATACATACATATGTAGATAACTATACATATATATATATATATAATTTATTTATTTATATTTATTTATCTGTTTA